CTTTCAAATTGACATTTTCATGCAATTTTGATATCCACTATTTTTAAAAAAAAAACCCGTCATAAGGTCTTTAACCTTCTTACTCAGACCACCTTAACCCTAACCTTAACCATCTTACTCAGACCACCTTAACCCTAACCTTAACCATCTTACTCAGACCACCTTAACCCTAACCTTAACCATCTTACTCAGACCACCTTAACCCTAACCTTAACCATCTTACTCAGACCACCTTAACCTTAACCTTAACCATCTTACTCAGACCACCTTAACCCTAACCTTAACCATCTTACTCAGACCACCTTAACCCTAACCTTAACCATCTTACTCAGACCACCTTAACCCTAACCTTAACCATCTTACTCAGACCACCTTAACCCTAACCTTAACCATCTTACTCAGACCACCTTAACCCTAACCTTAACCATCTTACTCAGACCACCTTAACCCTAACCTTAACCATCTTACTCAGACCACCTTAACCCTAACCTTAACCATCTTACTCAGACCACCTTAACCCTAACCTTAACCATCTTACTCAGACCACCTTAACCCTAACCTTAACCATCTTACTCAGACCACCTTAACCCTAACCTTAACCATCTTACTCAGACCCACCTTAACCCTAACCTTAACCATCTTACTCAGACCACCTTAACCCTAACCTTAACCATCTTACTCAGACCACCTTAACCCTAACCTTAACCATCTTACTCAGACCACCTTAACCCTAACCTTAACCATCTTACTCAGACCACCTTAACCCTAACCTTAACCATCTTACTCAGACCACCTTAACCCTAACCTTAACCATCTTACTCAGACCACCTTAACACTAACCTTAACCATCTTACTCAGACCCACCTTAACCCTAACCTTAACCATCTTACTCAGACCCACCTTAACCCTAACCTTAACCATCTTACTCAGACCACCTTAACCCTAACCTTAACCATCTTACTCAGACCACCTTAACCCTAACCTTAACCATCTTACTCAGACCACCTTAACCCTAACCTTAACCATCTTACTCAGACCACCTTAACCCTAACCTTAACCATCTTACTCAGACCACCTTAACCCTAACCTTAACCATCTTACTCAGACCACCTTAACCCTAACCTTAACCATCTTACTCAGACCACCTTAACCCTAACCTTAACCATCTTACTCAGACCACCTTAACCCTAACCTTAACCATCTTACTCAGACCACCTTAACTCTAACCTTAACCATCTTACTCAGACCACCTTAACCCTAACCTTAACCATCTTACTCAGACCACCTTAACCCTAACCTTAACTATCTTACTCAGACCACCTTAACCCTAACCTTAACCATCTTACTCAGACCACCTTAACCCTAACCTTAACCATCTTACTCAGTCCACCTTAACCCTAACCTTAACCATCTTACTCAGACCACCTTAACCCTAACCTTAACCATCTTACTCAGACCACCTTAACCCTAACCTTAACCATCTTACTCAGACCACCTTAACCCTAACCTTAACCATCTTACTCAGACCACCTTAACCCTAACCTTAACCATCTTACTCAGACCACCTTAACCCTAACCTTAACCATCTTACTCAGACCACCTTAACCCTAACCTTAACCATCTTACTCAGACCACCTTAACCCTAACCTTAACCATCTTACTCAGACCACCTTAACCCTAACCTTAACCATCTTACTCAGACCACCTTAACCCTAACCTTAACCATCTTACTCAGACCACCTTAACCCTAACCTTAACCATCTTACTCAGACCACCTTAACCCTAACCTTAACCATCTTACTCAGACCACCTTAACCCTAACCTTAACCATCTTACTCAGACCACCTTAACCCTAACCTTAACCATCTTACTCAGACCACCTTAACCCTAACCTTAACCATCTTACTCAGACACCTAAAACTTAACCAGTCACCACTTTAAGGACTTTTTAGTCTAAAACTAATTTGAAAGTAGGATTGTTACTTCCGGTTTGGTCCAGATTTGGTTTATGATCTAGTGCCGACCGATCGCTCATACAGAGGAGTCAATGTGGAATCCTAAGAATGGGTCTTCTCTCAACTGATCCTTCAGACCTCCCTGACCAGGTGTGGGCCTCCTGCTGCTTTTGGAGCCCAGACTCTGTCACACCAACGCCGGGGGCAGGGTCAGCTAAAAGCAAGGACAATGCTTCACTAACCCCTGGGGAAGGGAACAGACTCCACATCATCCATGAAATAATATCTGGACATGGACTAAAATGATCCCAATAAGTCAATGACAATATTGATCCTGTGAATGTAATGTCTTTCATCTGTGTTGTGTGTGAAACATAAGTGAAGTGAATAACTGTGATGTCTATATAACTACCAGGCCTAGGTCTGCCCTGAGGCGGGACTAGGCTAATGAGGGAGCAGGCTCTCTCCGTGACCAAACTGTGGCTCAGGCTCTTGACTTCCATCTTCAAGGAGGATCTGCTGGACAGCCTCCATAAGCCTCACGCCTCCGTCTTTAAACCAACAACTCTTTCCCTGGCCTTGTCATCACTGGATCACACACGTAACCAAACGCACAGCACGCAAAAGTGTGCACTTCGGACTCTCTACAACAAAACGCTTTTTCCCACCAGCAGCCAAAGTAAGAGCGCTCCTTTCTCTTGGTTGAGGCTATGCTAACTGTTTGGACTGGGCTTAAGGCCTCGTTTTGGGCCTCATTGACCGTTCGGACTCTGGCCTAGAATGTTATGAGTAAGGGATAATGTATCGTACACAGGTCATTATCGGAAAATAAGCGCGTCGGGGTCCGCTTCGTCCTGAAGGTTTCCGATAATGACCTGTGTACGATACATGATCCCGCTTATTATACGGCTTTGTACCAACAGAACACACAAAATAAACTTCAGTCCACTCTTAGGAATACCAAAAGGTTGATTTAATGACAGAAAATAAAATAGTTGTACAGCTGTTAACGCCTACTGTGGACATTCCCTGTTAGACATTTACTTTTAGCATTATCATCACTGTATATGAACTTGCGATGTTCGTCCTGATTGGTTAAGGAAGAACCAGCGTATTGTGTTCTGCGTCCTGATTGGTTAAGGAAGAACCAGCGTATTGTGTTCTGCGTCCTGATTGGTTAAGGAAGAACCAGCGTATTGTGTTCTGTGTCCTGATTGGTTAAGGAAGAACCAGCGTATTGTGTTCTGCGTCCTGATTGGTTAAGGAAGAACCAGCGTATTGTGTTCTGCGTCCTGATTGGTTAAGGAAGAACCAGCGTATTGTGTTCTGCGTCCTGATTGGTTAAGGAAGAACCAGCGTATTGTGTTCTGCGTCCTGATTGGTTAAGGAAGAACCAGCGTATTGTGTTCTGCGTCCTGATTGGCTAAGGAAGAACCAGCGTATTGTGTTCTGCGTCCTGATTGGCTAAGGGGCCGTGCCGTGTTTCCTGTATCACAGCATTCACACTGACAAATGTAAATCCATGTCTGAGAGCTAGCAGTGTGACTGTAAGTGCTGTATGCTCATTTTCTCCTTGGCAAAACCATGGACTAAACCCACAACATGGTTAGTGCTAAAAGTTGAACTTCTGGACATGGACGATGACAGCAAAGAGGAGCACGGTGCGGAGCCCAGGCCTTTGACGAGGGACTTTCATGCAGCATTAAGCCCATTTTTGTCAAGAAAATTTACCAGACCAAATACTTCTCTGAATCTGAGTGAGCCAGTACCAGACCAAATACTTCTCTGAATCTGAGTGAGCCAGTACCAGACCAAATACTTCTCTGAATCTGAGTGAGCCAGTACCACACCAAATACTTCTCTGAATCTGAGTGAGCCAGTACCAGAGCAAATACTTCTCTGAATCTGAGTGAGCCAGTACCAGAGCAAATACTTCTCTGAATCTGAGTGAGCCAGTACCAGACCAAATACTTCTCTGAATCTGAGTGAGCCAGTACCAGACCAAATACTTCTCTGAATCTGAGTGAGCCAGTACCAGACCAAATACTTCTCTGAATCTGAGTGAGCCAGTACCAGAGCAAATACTTCTCTGAATCTGAGTGAGCCAGTACCAGACCAAATACTTCTCTGAATCTGAGTGAGCCAGTACCAGACCAAATACTTCTCTGAATCTGAGTGAGCCAGTACCAGACCAAATACTTCTCTGAATCTGAGTGAGCCAGTACCAGAGCAAATACTTCTCTGAATCTGAGTGAGCCAGTACCAGACCAAATACTTCTCTGAATCTGAGTGAGCCAGTACCAGACCAAGTACTTCTATGATCTCTGAAGACCTCTGGCTCTGCTCTGGCTCTGGCTCTGGCTCTGCTCTGGCTCTGGCTCTGGCTCTGCTCTGGCTCTGCTCTGGCTCTGCTCTGGCTCTGGCTCAGAATTCACCCATGCCCCCACGACCACGTCCCCTGCTCAGTGTTTGCAGAATGCCCCCCCCCCCCCACGTTGAGGTGAAGTATCCTCTATACTGTGGGCAGACTGTGGACTATGACGCGAGGACCGTCACTACTCATGTTACTTTCTGCTTCACTGGACAACTCCGTGTCCTCCTCCTCTGAATCTGAGTCAGCTAGCACCTGACCAAGTACTTCATCAACGGTAAAACAACCTCTCTTCATCGTGAATGAATGAAAAAACACTCTTTCTCTATGTTCTGCTCTCGCTACGCTCTGCACTACTGCCACTTCTCTGCCTCCGCCTAAGTGCGCCGAAGGCTGTCACACAAACTCATATTACTCAAAAACTTTTCATAAAACCACGCCCACAAATGCTGCTCATATTACAGGCACACATGTCTGCCATCTCCTGGTCAAAAGTATGAACAAGATTCAACACCATATTTAAAGATACAGCCTGTTTAAAGGAGCACTGTTGCTTTGGCGCTTAAAGGGTTAAGCTTCATCTCTAGTTTGTCCTTTTTTTTCCCCAAACTCAGCTCCATAAGCAGTGAGCTCCAGGAGAATGAACCTTTTAATGAAGTCACTTCAACACTCACACTTTCTGGGTCCTGGAGTTAACCACTGAGGTCCAGAATGCTCCAGTCTGAAACACATTAAATCTCATTAAAACATCTGTCACACTAAGGCCATGTATTCTTTGATGTGTGATGTCACATGTCTCTTCTGTCCTTACAGACCATACCTGAGAGTGTGCAGGGTGCAGTGGGGGTCCTCCAGCAGAGCAGACAGCAGCTTTACTCCTGTGTCTCCTGGATGGTTGTAGCTCAGGTCCAGTTCTCTCAGATGGGAGGGGTTGGACCTCAGAGCTGAGGCCAGAGAAGCACAGCCTTCCTCTGACACCAAACAACCTGACAGACTGAACACACACATTATTGTAATCACTCAGTTCATGACTAACATTCAACCCAAATGAGACACAGAACAATCCTTTATCTTTAACTGTCTTTGTCCACTGGTATTGTCCAAAACAATGACCAACAGGTTCTGTAAGAACAGTGAATCATATGAACCCTCTGACCTGAGCGTCTCCAGTTTACAGTGAGGACTCTTCAGTCCATCAGACAACAGCTTCAGCCCTGAGTCCTTCAAGTCGTTGTGACTCAGGTCCAGGACTCTCAGACTAGAGGACTGGGAGCTGAGGACTGAGGCCAGAGCTCCACAGCTTCTGTCTGACAGCTCACAGCAGCTCAGTCTGGAGACAGAAAACATGGTTATGTAGAAGTTTAATGAATCCTGTGTTAAACAAAGGTTACTCACAAAGCTTTGGTGGAGGCCTTGACCACTGGCAGCAGCCTCAGGAGAGCCTCCTCTGAAGCACAGTATCTGCTCAGATCAAACTGGTCCAGATCTTCTTCTGATGACAGTAAGATGAAGGCCAGAGCTGACCACTGAGCAGGAGACAGTCCTTCAGACAGACGTCCTGACCTCAGGGTCTGTTGGATCTGCTCCACCAGAGAAGAATCATTCAGTTCATTCAGACAGTGGAGCAGACTGATGCTCCTCTCTGCAGACACATCCTCACTCAGCTTCTTCTTTATGTACTCTGCTGTCTTCTGATTGGTCTGGGAGCTACTCCCTGTCTGTGTCAGCAGACCGTTTAGAAGGCTCTGATTGGTCGACACTGAAAGGCCCAGGAGGAAGCGGAGGAGCAGGTCCAGGTGTCCGTTTGGACTCAGTAAGGCCTGGTCCACAGCTGTCTGGAAGAATTGTAGTGGATCTTTTTCAGTGACGTGATGCTTTATGGTGGACATTATGGACTTTCTCTCTACCAGCAGATTAATTCCAGTCTTGATGAAGGTCTGATGGACGTGAAGAGCAGCCAGAAACTCCTGCACACTCAGATGGATGAAGCAGTAGACCTTGTCCTGGTACAGGCCTGGCTCCGTTCTAAAGACCTGTGTGAAGACTCCGGAGTACACTGAGGCGGCTGCAGCGTCCAGCCCACACTCGCTCAGGTCACAGTCGTAGAAGATCAGGTTTCCTCTCTGCAGCTGCTCAAAGGCCAGTTTTCCCAGAGACTTCACCATCTTCCTGGTGTCTGGACTCCAGTGTGGGTCTGTCTCTGATCCTTCTTTATACTTGATGTTCTTGACTTTGGCCTGAACCACCAGGAAGTGGCTGTACATCTGCGTCAGGCTCTTGGGCAGCTCTCCTCTCTCTCTGCTCTTCAACACATGCTCCAGGACTGTGGCAGTGATCCAGCAGAAGACTGGCATGTGGCACATGATGTGGAGGCTTCTGGACGTCTTGATGTGGGAGAGGACTGTGTCGGCCTGTTCTCCGAACCTCCTCCTGAAGTACTGCTCCTTCTGAGAGTCGCTGAACCCTCGGACCTCTGTCACCATGGAGACGCACTCTGCAGGGATCTGATTGGCCGCCGCGGGGCGTGTGGTGATCCAGAGGCGAGCGGAGGGAAGCAGGCTCCCCCTGATGAGGTTCACCAGCAGCAGGTCCAGAGAGACGGACTCTGTGGGGTCTGAGAGGACACGAGAGCTGCTGAAGTCCAGAGGAAGTCTGCACTCGTCCAGACCGTCAAAGATGAAGAGCACCTGGAGGTCTTCAAAGCTGCAGAGATCTGCTTGTGTTTGACTAAAGAAGTGATGAACAAGTGACACCAGGCTGAAGCTTCTGTCCTTCATAACATTGAGAGTTCTGAAAGTGAAGGGGAACAGCAGCTGGAGGTCCTGGTTGGCTTTGCCTTCAGCCCAGTCCAGACTGAACTTCTGAGTGAGCACTGTTTTCCCGATGCCAGCCACGCCCTTTGTCAGCACCGTTCTGATTGGTTTGTCTGAGTGGGCCGGGTCTTTAAAGATGTCTTCACATGTGATGGTTCTCTCTGCTGGTCTCCTGGAGGCTGCTTCCATGTGTCGGACCTCATGTTCCTGGTTGACCTCTGAAGAGCCTCCCTCTGTGATGTAGAGCTCGGTGTAGATCTGCTTCAGGAGGGTGGGGGCTCCTGCTTTAGCGATGCCCTCAAACACACACTCAAACCTCTGCTGCAGATGCTCCTTCAGTTTACGCTGAGAACGTCCAGAAGAAACCCCTGAATGAAGACAACAGAGACAGAGTCAGAGAAGATCACATGACCATCATGAACGTGTTCTTACTGCTCCACAGACGCTCACCAGCTCCTTCTGGTCCATCCTCCTCAGGAAGTTCAGTGTGATCTTCAGGAGCGCCTCACTGCTGCTCCTCTGCTCCTTATCCTCCACAGGCTCTAAGCATTCTGGGTAATCTGTGTTCAGAAGCCTTTGGAACTTCTTCAGCTCCTCCTGGACAAAAGTGGAGAGGTCCTTCTCCAGGCACTGCACACACATAAGAAACAACACAAACAATAACTGTTTCCATCCGAGTGGAGCACATGTCTGGTTCAGGTTCAAGGACTTTGCTCGACATCCTGCTCCACCCAGAGGCTACTCCACTTCTGCTGCTGTGACCTGTCCTGCTCCACCCAGAGACTACTCCACCTCTGCTGCTGTGACCCGTCCTGCTCCACCCAGAGGCTACTCCACCTCTGCTGCTGTGACCCGCCTGCTCCACCCAGAGGCTACTCCTGCTGTGACCGCCTGCTGTGGTACCCACCTCTGCTGCTGTCCCCTCCAGCTACTCCACCTGTGCTCCCACCTCCTCTGCTGTGACCCGCTGCTCCACCCAGAGGCTACTCCACCTCTGCTGCTGTGACCCGTCCTGCTCCACCCCAGAGGCTACTCCACCTCTGCTGCTGTGACCTGTCCTGCTCCACCCAGAGGCTACTCCACCTCTGCTGCTGTGACCTGTCCTGCTCCACCCAGAGGCTACTCCACCTCTGCTGCTGTGACCCGTCCGCTTCCACCCAGAGGCTACTCCACCTCTGCTGCTGTGACCTGTCCTGCTCCACCCAGAGGCTACTCCACCTCTGCTGCTGTGACCTGTCCTGCTCCACCCAGAGGCTACTCCACCTCTGCTGCTGTGACCTGTCCTGCTCCACCCAGAGGCTACTCCACCTCTGCTGCTGTGACCCGTCCTGCTCCACCCAGAGGCTACTCCACCTCTGCTGCTGTGACCTGAAGGCCTGTAGCTGATTATTACTATTGTTAGCTTTTTAGAAAGATTTAATTTATTTTTTATTTTTGCTGCTAGGGTTAGGGTAGCACATTTAAAACAGCTGTGACTAAAGTGCTGAGGCTGAGAAGGTTCTTCTAATAAAACAAAAGTGTAAAGAAGCTAGTTCTGTTTAATCAGCACATGTTTAGACGTCTGCCTTTGTCAGAGAAACGTAACGGTGCAACGTGTCTCGGATTAGCTGTTGTTAGGCTGACCCTTCGTCTGACCACGCCTCATCTGTCTGACCACGCCCCCTCCGTATGACCACGCCCCCTCAGACTGACCACGCCCCCCTGTGGTCTCTGGAGAAGTGAGTCCCAAGTGTGAGTCCAGGTGAAAACCCCCTGGTCCCTGTTGATGGTCCGTGCGCCACACTCCCTGGTTTCAGTCAGGTCTGATGGATCAGTTCCATCTCCTCAGTTTGACTGCATCCTGAACTTCCTTCAAACAAGTTTTGGTTCAGAACGGTTCGAATGGGCAGATATATTATTATAGATATATTTGGACATCATCAGCAAAGCAGTGGTTATCAATATTCTGCTTATTAAATATAGCTCCCAGGGGAAGCAAGTAAAGGCAAAAGAGGGTGGGGCCTAAAATACTGCCTTGGGGCACTCCTCACTTTAAGGCCCTGTCCACACGAAGTCAAGCTCAGGCCTAAACGCAAAAATACTTTATCAATCCAGTGTATCGTCCATACGAGGCCGGCGTTTTGGGGGGGTGTAAACGAACATTTTTGAAACTAGGTCCCAGAGTGGAAAGATTTCAAAACTCCGTATATGCCGCTCCGTGGTTACTGCCTCTCCGCAATGTATCTGAGACGCTTGCGTCATCGCCCCGCCTCTTGTTAAAGCACGCATGCGCCGCACTCAGAAAATAATGACAACAACAATGTAGCTTGTTGGTTTTGTAATCCAGTGCGACCCGAAGCAACAGTTCAACCTCATCGTCCGTCCATACTAATGTAGTACCAGCTCGCCCACTCGCCATGTTGTCTGTTTACAAAATTCCGCGCATGCCCACGGAAGTTTGGGCTTGATCCCGTCATTGCGTCACAGCGCCACCAACAGGTCTGGCATAGTTTCACAGCGTTTTCAGGCGTATTGACTACATTCATATGGACGCACACATTTACTGAGCTAACTCCGTGTTTACAGAAAAAGTTTCTGAAATTATAAGCGTTTTGTCTTCGTGTGGATATAGCCTAAGTCTCATACTTTAGAGAACTGTCACAGTTGGACAGAAAAAGATCAATCCGTGAGACAGGACTGAAAGTGCAGTTCCTGTGACGGTCCACCGTATCGAAGGCTGATGGTTAATCTAGGAGAACGAGAGCAGAAGGGTGGCCAGAGTCTGAGACTGAGATCATTCAGGTCTATGTTTGGCTTTGAAACCTGAACTTCTCAGTGATGTATCAAGACTCTGTGCTGTGTATCTAATGATTCAGAGGAAGCTCCAGGATTCAGCCTGATCATTTTCACTTGTCTCTTTGTTCGTCTTGTGTCTTCAGAACAGAGTGGGTTTTATATTCTCTTCATGAGTTTCTGTGGTTGTGTTTCCACCTCCTGTTACTGATGTCACACTTCAAACTGTGCTTTAACACCAGGAGATGGAACACATCAGTGTCACATGTGTGTGAAACTAGTCCTTCAGCTGAACATCTCCAAACGTGAGTGAATGACAGACCTTAAATACAGAGTCCTGGCCTGTGCGATGGTGCGGACCACTGGAGACCTCTGCAGCCGCTCTGTGGAGAGACAGAGACACTTACAGAGGGAAACACAGTATTTAGTCAGTTAGACAAGTCCTCCCACTTCAAAAGGAGAGAGGCCTTTTATCATAGTTTACCTCAACTATGAGACAAAATGGGAACATTTTAAAGACTGTATTTAAACTGATGGTGGTGTCCTGGGCTGAAGCGCTAGGCCTGGATTGGTTAAATGTGTTCTGATTCTGCATTAAACTCTTTTTAATACATAACTCAGTCAATCCTTCTCCAAAACTATTTTGTGCAGGAACCTGATCTTCTGTGGAACAGGTGGAAAGTCTGTAACTTCTCCTTTAAGAGACTCCTCTGTCCTCCACTCGTTTACTTTATTAATGTCTGTTTTAACTCTATCTGTGTCAAAGACCCCTGTCCACGACCTCACACAGTCACACTCCAAACTCCACTGTGGCCAAGACCAAAGAGCTGTCAAAGGACACTAGAAACACACATGTAGACCTGCACCAGGCTGGGAAGACTGGATCTGCAGTAGGTAAGCAGTTAGGTGTGAAGAGAGCTGATAATCTCCTGAAGTTTGCTACAGCGCGTTTGGATGATCCAGAAGAGGATTGGGAGACTGTCCTATGATCAGATGAAACCAAAACAGAACTTTTTTGTAAAAACTCAACTCGTCATGTTTGGAAGAGAAAGGGGGTGGGAACATCATGCTTTGGGGCTGTGTTTCTACAAAAGGAAGCCGGAAAATAACAAAATAAGACAAACACAAGTCATACCATGTGTGCTCCCAGTCGTTAGCCCTTACAGAGGCTCTAATATAAAAGTCTGAACAGACTGTGTTCACGTGAGTCTGTCTGCTTTCGTCAGCTCGTGTGAGACTCACCCGGTCCTGAAGCTCAGTGGTTCTCCCATAGACCGGTCACTCTTGAACTTCAGTGGTTCTCCCATAGACCAGTCACTCCTGAAGCTCAGTGGTTCTCCCATGGACCGGTCACTCCTGAACTCCAGTGGTTCTCCCATAGACCGGTCACTCCTGAACTTCAGTGGTTCTCCCATAGACCGGTCACTCTTGAACTTCAGTGGTTCTCCCATAGACCAGTCACTCCTGAACTCAGTGGTTCTCCCATAGACCGGTCACTCCTGAACTCAGTGGTTCTCCCATAGACCGGTCACTCTTGAACTTCAGTGGTTCTCCCATAGACCGGTCACTCCTGAAGCTCAGTGGTTCTCCCATAGACTGGTCACTCCTGAACTTCAGTGGTTCTCCCATAGACCGGTCACTCCTGAACTTCAGTGGTTCTCCCATAGACTGGTCACTCCTTAGGGACTCGCATCTGGGACCAGGTCCAGACTGAAGTTTGTGGAGGATCCTGAGACACAGAAGAAGAGAGCTTTGGAGTTGGAGAGGCCTTCACCACAGGCTGCGTCACGTCCACAAACACACAGATATCATCTACACCTGGTATCTACACCTGGTATGACCTCTGTCCATGTCTTAGTTCTTGGTTTAGTCACTGGTTTAGTTTAGTTGGTTGGTTTAGTGTATGTATGTGTGTGTGTGTGTGTGTCTGTCTCTGTGTGTGTGTGTGTGTTTGCTTCCGAGTGTGCGTGATATGGAGTATTACCTAAATATGGCTAATTTTATTCATATGAAATACAATTAAAAAGGTCTGATTGTTATAAATACTGTGTTTCATAAAGTCATGTCTGTGTCAGATCTTATCTGTGGTGAAATCAGACACATTGATCATGTGTGTGCTGCCTCATTTGCATATTGTCCCCTAGATCCAGGGGTGTCCCAATTCTTAGGGAGAATGTTGTTGTGAGTGTGAGAGGGCCCTCTTCTGTTGAGGGCCCTCACAACACGAGGGCCCTCAGAATTGGGACGGGCCCTCAGTCCTACTTTTCAACCATGGCGTTGAATACTGCGACTTTAGAAAGTCTTCAGAGTGGAGTTAGAGTCTGCACCACATTCTCCAACATTTTCTTACAAAAACTACTGCTGTTTCTACTGCTGCTGTTACTGCTGATACTGCTGTTACTGCTGTTACTGCTGATACTGCTGTTACTGCTGTTACTGCTGACACAGCTGTTACTGCTGTTACTGCTGATACTGCTGTTACTGCTGATACTGATGATACTGCTGTTACTGCTGATACTTCTGTTACTGCTGTTACTGATGATACTGCTGTTACTGCTGATACTGCTGATACTGCTGTTACTGCTGATACTGCTGTCTTTGCTGTTACTGCTGATACTGCTGTTACTGCTGATACTGCTGTTACTGCTGTTACTGCTGATACTTCTGTTACTGCTGTTTCTGCTGATACTGCTGTTACTGCTGTTACTGCTGATACTGCTGATACTGCTGTTACTGCTGATACTCCTGTTACTGCTGTTACTGCTGATACTGTTGTTACTGCTGTTACTGCTGATACTGCTGATACTGCTGATACTCCTGTTACTGCTGTTACTGCTGATACTGCTGTTACTGCTGATACTGCTGTTACTGCTGTTACTGCTGATACTCCTGTTACTGCTGTTACTGCTGTTACTGCTGATACTGCTGTTAGTGCTGTTACTGCTGATACTGCTGTTACTGCTGTTACTGCTGATACTGCTGTTACTGCTGTTACTGCTGATACTGCTGTTAGTGCTGTTACTGCTGATACTGCTGTTACTGCTGTTACTGCTGATACTGCTGTTACTGCTGTTACTGCTGTTACTGCTGTTACTGCTGTTACTGCTGGTACTGACCAGAATCAGAATCATGTTTATTGCCACGTAAGTAACAGGAAGTCACAGACTTGGAGATTGCTTTGGAAGAAACTGTTCGTATGGCGGGAGGTTCTAGTCCTTATGGACCGTAGTTTCCTGCCCGAGGGGAGAGTTTGGAATAGTCCATGGGCAGGTGAGAGGGGAGTGGTTGGAATATTCCATGTGCAGGTGAGAGGGGAGTGGTTGGAATAGTCCATTCCAACCATTGGAATGGACTTGTGACGGCTGTCACAAGTCAAAGCCGACAAGGGATCGACTGTGATACAACCAGCCCGGCCTCGAGCTCGGGCGACATACAGGTCGCAGTGGGAGGCTGCGGCCGATGTGGGGAAGGGAGGACAGTGCTCTTTCTAAAGTCCACAATCATCTCCACTGTCTTCTGGGCGTTCAGCTCCAGGTTGTTACCACTGCACCAGGACACCAGCCGGTCCACCTCCCTCCTGTAGGAGACACCAGGACACCAGCCGGTCCACCTCCCTCCTGTAGGAGACACCAGGACACCAGCCGGTCCACCTCCCTCCTGTAGGAGACACCAGGACACCAGCCGGTCCTCCTCCCTCCTGTAGGGGACACCAGGACACCAGCCGGTCCACCTCCTCCTGTAGGAGACACCAGGACACCAGCCGGTCCACCTCCCTCCTGTAGGGGACACCAGGACACCAGCCGGTCCACCTCCTCCTGTAGGAGACACCAGGACACCAGCCGGTCCACCTCCTCCTGTAGGAGACACCAGGACACCAGCCGGTCCACCTCGTCCTGTTGGAGACACCAGGACACCAGCCGGTCCACCTCCCTCCTGTAGGAGACACCAGGACACCAGCCGGTCCACCTCCTCCTGTAGGAGACACCAGGACACCAGCCGGTCCACCTCCCTCCTGTAGGAGACACCAGGACACCAGCCGGTCCACCTCCTCCTGTAGGAGACACCAGGACACCAGCCGGTCCACCTCCCTCCTGTAGGAGACACCAGGACACTAGCCAGTCCACCTCCTCCTGTAGGAGACACCAGGACACCAGCCGGTCCACCTCCCTCCTGTAGGAGACACCAGGACACCAGCCGGTCCACCTCCCTCCTGTAGGAGACACCAGGACACCAGCCGGTCCACCTCCTCCTGTAGGAGACACCAGGACACCAGCCGGTCCACCTCCCTCCTGTAGGAGACACCAGGACACTAGCCAGTCCACCTCCTCCTGTAGGAGACACCAGGACACCAGCCGGTCCACCTCCTCCTGTAGGAGACACCAGGACACCCGCCGGTACACATCCTCCTGTAGGAGACACCAGGACACCAGCCGGTCCACCTCCCTCCTGTAGGAGACACCAGGACACCAGCCGGTCCACCTCCTCCTGTTGGAGACACCAGGACACCAGCCGGTCCACCTCCTCCTGTAGGAGACACCAGGACACCAGCTGGTACACCTCCTCCTGTAGGAGACACCAGGACACCCGCCGGTCCACCTCCTCCTGTAGGAGACACCAGGACACCCGCCGGTCCACCTCCTCCTGTAGGAGACACCAGGACACCAGCCGGTCCACCTCCTCCTGTAGGAGACACCAGGACACCAGCCGGTCCACCTCCTCCTGTAGGAGACACCAGCCGGTCCACCTCCTCCTGTAGGAGACACCAGGACACCAGCCGGTCCACCTCCTCCTGTAGGAGACACCAGGACACCAGCCGGTCCACCTCCTCCTGTAGGAGACACCAGGATACCAGCCGGTCCACCTCCCTCCTGTAGGAGACACCAGGACACCAGCCGGTCCACCTCCCTCCTGTAGGAGACACCATGACACCAGCCGGTCCACCTCCCTCCTGTAGGAGACACCAGGACACCAGCCGGTCCACCTGCTCCTGTAGGAGCCACCAGGACACCAGCCGGTCCACCTGCTCCTGTAGGAGACACCAGGACACCAGCCGGTCCACCTCCCTCCTGTAGGAGACACCAGGACACTAGCCAGTCCACCTCCTCCTGTAGGAGACACCAGGACACCAGCCGGTCCACCTGCTCCTGTAGGAGCCACCAGGACACCAGCCGGTCCACCTGCTCCTGTAGGAGACACCAGGACACCAGCCGGTCCACCTCCTCCTGTAGGAGACACCAGGACACCAGCTGGTCCACCTCCTCCTGTAGGAGACACCAGGACACCAGCCGGTCCACCTCCCTCCTGTAGGCGGACTCATCGTTGTTGGAGATGAGTCCAATCATGTTCATGTCTTCCTGTCTCAGTGAGTATTAACTTACCTAACTTAGAGACTGAACAAATGAGTTGTTGATAATAAGAAATCTAGTAAGCTGTAGGTAGACAACTTTTTCAAGGACTTTCCCCATATATGGCAGATTTGAGATGGGACGATAGTTGTTAAGTAAGTAAGTAATGTTTATTTTAGGAATGTCAAACGATATATATTTTTAATCGAGTTAATTACAGATTAAAAATTCCTTAATCATAATTAATCGCATTTCAAACTATCAGCAAAATTATGGCATATTTTTCTGTAAATGTTGTTTGAACATAGTGTACATATGTACTGTTTATTGCAACAATAAATTCACATAAAACGCATTAACATTATTCACATTCTGTCTTTCTGTAGTAGACAGTAGTTTTTCTAAGTAGGAATAAGAATTAGCCAATGCTAACATGTAGCATTAGCTGACCTCTCAAAAACGTCTTTACAGGATGGTCCAAAAGTTGGCTCTTGGCCCAAAGTTCCGTTCCACATGTGTGTCAATGCTGAGGGTTTGGACCAGTCTAGTTTAGTCGCTGTGAATTTTTGAAGGCACTCGTTAAATGAATGGGGGCCGCGCAGATTCGTTTTTTCACATTTTCCAGCCCCCGCGGCCATTTTGAAACTACCCATAGACCGTGGAAGTTGTGGCACATTAGTTAGAATGGCGGAGTCCATTAATATTTAGAATCTATGGTTTGGTCTGATGTACCCATATCAGTTTGATTAGTTTCAATCAATCAATCAAATTAAATGTATAAAGCGCTTTTCATACAAAAAAAATGCAACAGAAAGTGCTTTACAGTTTAGTTAAAAACAATCCAATCTGCCCAGCCCTAAACCCCACCCCCCCACAGATCCCCCCAAAAACCACATTTATTATTATATATACACCCACATGTGTGAACACACACACACACACACACACACACACATATATATAAAGTCACATCAGGTAAAATAGTTAAAACAATAAAAAGATAATAGGGCTGGATGTAGATGCATCGAGCTGAAGAAGCGCCATCCAAGGAGCCATCTGCACCAGGAGCAGAGAGCAACCTGCAGCCACAGGGAACGACACAGGAC